AATCAGCATGATCAGTCACTTAGCCTTTTATATATAGACGAGAGGCCCGATGCATGAAATTTGTGCAAGAGTAGGCCTTCCTTCCCCTGGCTACCGGCACCGGCTTCCCTCTGGCCGCCAGCAGGCACCTGGGACCTGGGCTTTGTATGGAAGTTCATCTGGAAGGACGTCCAGTCTAATTAGCATATGCTTTTATTATTATAGATTACATATAGATATTTGCCAGTATGTAAATGTCTACTTCAGAATTATTTGACATATATTTTATTTTAAATCTTTAATCATATGATACTTAATCGTGTTTTCTATGTTTGGCAGGAATTAAAAGGTGGAAAAGCTTATGCAAAGGTGAGTGGTCTTTAACTCTTTTGGAGTGTGTAATTTATAAACTTAAAAATTAAATAGTGTGCTCTTCTAATTGCCGTTCAAATGGGCTGTTTTTAAATGAAGCAACTTGGAGATTGAACAGTTGGCTTCAAAAATACATTATAGGCACATTCTTTCTGAATGCTGATTATGAGATGTTCTTCTTAAGTTTCAATGTCATTTCTAGACTAGAAGATGATCTCTGGTTTGCAGTAAGTAATTACTTTCCCCAGGAAGTATTCCCAGGCCCACCTCCCCCCAGTACAGTAGGACCCCTCCTCTGTGTCCTCTTCCCCTCTGTATAGATATGATCTCTACTGTCCTTTATTCTGTTATTACCTGTATGGAATTAGTGAAGAATGTATTTGCTTTTTTGCTGAATAGAAGGAATTGGTGCCAGAAACCCTGGGTAGCGATACTCCTCTTTTACTTCCAGTCTCTGTGATGGTATCTCCATCAGTCAGTCGTCTGAGCCAAGAACCAGGCACTAGTCCCAGCCATCACATCTGCCTAACTCCCTAAAACTAGTTGGTTGCAATGTCAGGTAGGATGCTCTTTGCTATAAATAACAGAAAAACCTCTTCGCCTACAGATGGCCAAGGACTGAGGGGCCAAAGACAGTCAACATGGACGTTTTCAAGGAGCTTTGTAATAAAAGGGGAGCAGAAAAATAGTTCAGTAGACAGAGACGTGGGGTGAGGGTTGGGTTACTTTTGTTCATTACGGCGGAGAAGATCCAGCATGTTTGCGTGCTGGTGGTAATGACCCCGTAGAAAAGGCAGAGTGCAAGACAAAGCCGAGTTCCTGGAGCCGTGAACTTGAGTCTGCACACAGCCAGCTCCCATCCCAGCAGTGGGAAGGCAGACATGTGGGCACAGATGCAGGCAGGTGAGTGGATGTGGCTGGAGATAGGAGCTGATGAAAGTTAAGTGCTCCTTTTTTTAATACATTTTTATTGATTTCAGAGAGGAAGGGAGAGAAAGAGAGAGAAACATCAATGATGAGAATCATTGATTGGCTAATTGAGCCCACAACCTGAGCGTGTGCCCTTGACAGGAATGGAGCCTGGGACCCTTCAGTCTGCAGGCTAAACTGGCTAGGGCAAGTCAATTGCTCTTTTGATTGCTCTTCTCTTCTGAGTGAAGTAAGAAGAAAGGCATTAGCACGGAGTATAAATGTGAAGGAGGCGTTGGAGGTTTAAAGAGAAAAGATAAGGCCGAAACCGGTTTGGCTCAGTGGATAGAGCGTCGGCCTGCGGACTGAAAGGTCCCAGGTTCGATTCCGGTCAAGGGCATGTACCTGGGTTGCGGGCACATCCCCAGTAGGAGATGTGCAGGAGGCAGCTGATCGATGTTTCTCTCTCATCGATGTTTCTAACTCTCTATCTCTCTCCCTTCCTCTCTGTAAAAAATCAATAAAATATATTAAAAAAAAAAGAAAAGAAAAGATAAGGTCTGAAATAGGGCGTGTGGGTGATGTGTGATCAGATAGCCATAGGGGGCCCCAGGTGTTCCCTTGGATGTGGCTTCTCTCTCCTTAATGATGTTTCTGTCTCTCCTTCCCGCTCCCTTCCTTTCTGAAATCAATTAAAAAATTTTAAAAATAAAAAATGAATCAACCAATGAATGCATCAATAAGTAGAACAACAAATCAGTATTTTTCCTCTCTCAAAAATTAATTAAAATTTTTTTAATTAAAAAACACACAATATAATGGGGTTGAATTGTACCAGTTGGAAACAAAACATAGGGTTGAGCACATCAGAGAGACTAGAGGGCACTGTGATAGCTGCAGAAAATGGGGAACAAGCCTGGGTAGCGATTAGAAGGAGGAACAGGTTTGAGCTGCACTTCTGGCAGCAGCCTCGAGCATTGGTGTGGGGCTCAGCTTTGGGGAAGGGAGGAAGTAGGGTTTTTAAAGAAAGATTCAGCTCAAGAGTGATCAGCAAGGCAAGGTTATGGAAGGGGCTGGAGGAGAGGGGGCGTGTGACACACACATCATTCTAGTTCCTGCGTGGCGAGTGTGACTGTAATAACCTGCAACTGCCTGCAGCCCCCAGGCGTTAACTGGGAGCTGAGCCAGAACGGAAACAGGGAGGAGGAAGTCTGGTCAGTGTGTGAATGTATATGCAGATGATCTTGGGCCTGCTAGCATTTCCCTTAGTGCAAGCACTCCTGCTTCTCACAGTGATTCTAGTTGCTTAATATGCATCCTTTATTTTTACTTCAACAGTTACATAGTTTATATTTAGCAGATCAGATGTATGTAGCAGATCAAATCAGTGATTTCAGAGATTGCATTGCTTAAGATAAGAGGATAGCCCTGGCCAGTGTGGCTCAGTTGGTTAAGCATCAAAAGGTTGCTGGTTCCATTCCATGTCAGGGGTCGGGGCACATGGTAAGGGGGCGTGCAAGAGGCAGCCAATCTATGTTTCACTTTCACATCGATATTTCTCCGCTTGAGCTCTCTCCCTCTCCCTCTCTCTCTGGAAATCAATAACAAGTCTTAAAAAAAAAAAAAGATAAGAGAACAGTAGGTAATAAATTTTTTACCAAAAGTGAGCCAATTTAAAGACAAATTAGGCTGCCAAACCGGTTTGGCTCAGTGGATAGAGCCCCTTCCTCTCTGTAAAAAATCAATAAAATATATTTAAAAAATAAAATAAATAAATAAAGACAAATTAGGCAAATAATAGAACAGGTATTGATAAGACGGCAAAAACTGCAAATGACTGAAGTTTGAAATAACTTGTCTAGAGCAAGGGTTGGATGTTTATTTTCAGGAGAACGTGATAGAAGCCTAGCAGATATTCTGTTAATATACTTTTTTTCTTTTCATAGCTGGGCTTTGCAGATCTAAACCTGGCGGAGTTTGCTGGATCAGGAAATACCACTCGTCGCTGTTTACTGGAAGGCTACAATACCAAAAATACAAGACAGGATAACTCCATCCTTAAAGTAAGCCCGGGTCAGGGTTTACAGGTCAGCACAGGAGGTTCTCCGCCTTTAACTAAGAGGGGACATACTGGCAAGAGCAAGGAGGGGCTCAGTACTGAGATCGCAAGCTGAGCACACCCCCAAAATACTCAGCAGCCCTCCAGAGAAAGCAGCACTGCAATGCAGGATGTAATCCAACTCGGCCATCATTCTGTTCAGTCCTTCTTGAGTGGCGAGGACGGGCGGCCGCTGTGGCCGGTGCCTTCGCAGAACGCAGCTCCTCGGAGGAGGAGACCTGTTATAACCACAGTCTCTCTCTTGCTTACATATAGGTTTTCATCAGTATGCAGCTGATGTCTGGTGACCCATGTTTTAAAACGTAAGTCGGTGCTCAGTAAATGCGTTATTTCTCTGAAAGTATCACAGTCATTTATTTGTTTCAAGTTTTCCGTTCATGTTTCAGAGTGCTTATAGGCTAATCCCAGTGAAGGGCTAGTTTCTCTCCGGGTGGCTGACCTGACCCTCATAGAAGTTACTATTACCTATTACCCAACCAGCTCGCCACACCCTGAATTGTTTCAGCTCTTGTCATCTTCAGGTTTGGGGTGAAATTACATAAATGAGGCCTCTGGGGACTCATTCATGTCTTCAGCAAACACCTAGCAAGTGCCTTACCATGTAGTAGGCCCTGTTCTAGACATGACAAAGAGCAGGCAAAAATAGACCAGGTCCCTGACACCTCGGAGCTTGTCTTCTGACACAAACAACAAACTAACAAGTACATACATGATGTAAAGATGGCAGTGACTGCTTGGAGAAACCAGAGCGGGGTAGGAGGACCCCGGCAGGAGGTGTTTCCCTTTTACATGGAGTAGGCAGGGATGTCCTCCCGGGTAAAGATGGAATGGGAGGCAGAGAACATGGTGCAAGTGCAGATATTGGAGAAGTGGAAGCATGTCGGAATTATTTTCCAACTGCTTCTGGTTTCCATGGTTTGATTCCCATCAGGGCATATGCCCGGGTTGCGGGCTCGATCCCTACTGTGGGGTGTGCAGGAGGCAGCCAATTGGTGATTCTCTCATCATTGATGTTTCTCTCACTCCCTCTCCCTTCCTCTCTGAACTCAATATATATACATATATACTTTTTTTAACAGCTCCTGGTTTCTTAGTGAGCTAGGAAGCCAGATCACTGGAGAGCAAGGATATGACACAGAGCAGGGGGTTTGGGGAAAGAGGACAAGATGTGTAAAAGGCTCTTCAGAGCGAGGGCGAGTGAACCAACTGGGAGAAAGTGGGGATTGCCTGTCAGTGATGTGAAGACATTTAATAATTAAACCTGAAAGTTAATTAATCGTTATTTAAATATCTGAGAGAAATGTATTTAGAAAAGTAAACATTAATTACTACCCTATGCATCATTCATGTTTTTAATAGCAGCATCTATATAGCTTTCTCCTTACAAACTGTTCTGTAAGGACGAAAACACATACTTTCACACAAATCAATTATTGATTAAAACTCTGCATTTTCTTCTCACTTAGCCTTCCTGTGCTGTCTTCTCTCAGACCATAATTTCCTGGCTTTTTTCTTGATTTCCTGTTCTCTTGGGACTAAGCCATTTTCACTGTACTATATTTGGTTTGTTGGGTCAAAAAGTGCTGCAAGACACATTAGTAGAAGAAAATGAATTAATCATTTCTTCTGGCCCTTTTTCTGCCATTTCCTCTCCCTGTTTGTGAAACTCAGATACTGAAAAGCTAAAAAATAGATCACCTTATGTCCTGTGTTATCTCCACAAATATAATTCTGACAATCTCGAGTTGATACTTATAGAGACTTTTATAATTTTTTAGAATAAACAGGCATTACCTCATCACAAGATATGTAAAAATATTTGTTTTCTCTTTTCTTTGGATATGTGAAATTGTCATTTTTGAGGTCATTTTTCATGTGCTTTTAACATTACTATGAAACTAAAACAAAACAAGCCCTTGCTGTAGCCAGTTTGGCTCAGTGAATAGAGTGTTGACCTGTGGATTGAAAGGTCAGGTTCAATTCCGGGCAAGGGCACGTACCTCAGTTGCAGGCTCGACCCTTGGCCCTGGGCCAGGTGCATGTGGAGGCAGCTGATTGACGGGTCTCTCTCACACCAATGTTTCTCTCTCTCTCCCTTCCACTCTCTCTAAAAAAAGAAATCAATGGAAAAATATCCTCTGGTGAGAATCACAAAACAAGCCCATCTCTTTTGTTCTGTGATTGAGCCATATTAAAAGTTTCTGATAAGAGATACAGAACATTTCAGAACAGAGGGTAATAGCGTAGAAGCTGGCGCATGACAGGCATCGGGGATTAGTTATCCAACGTGACTGAGTCGCCTAGGGTGCCGCCAAGGCCAGCTAAGATTTTAGATTCTTCGTTGCCTTAATACCAACCCCGTGCGGATGAGTTCCCTCCCTAATGCTTCGTGGCCCCAGCATTAGAGCGGCTGGTGCAGTGGCTGAAATTATCAAGGGTCGGGTTCTTCTAGTTTGTTAAGACTGCCGATCGAGGGGTGCCAAACCGAAGGTATTGCTGAAAGCCTGTGGCTCTGAAGCCAGGAGGGCTGGAGACACTGTAATCAGGCCGTCTGGGAAAGGAAAACCAAAGGAACTGGCATGAGAAAGATAAGCATGTAGACGTAAGGCCTGAGTCACCATCAACGATTCATGACTGTAGACTCCATTCTTCGGAAGGGTAGTTCTTTTATTTATTGATTTCCGAGAGAGAGAGAGAGAGAGAGAGAGGAAAAAACACCAATGATGAGAGAGAATCATAGATGGGCTGCCTCCTGCACGCCCCCTACTGAGGACGAGCCTGCAACCAGGGCCTGTGCCCTTGACCGGGATCGAACCTTCAGTCCAAAGGCTGATGCTCCATCCACTGAGCCAAGCCAGCCAGGGCGGAAGGGTATTTCTTTTACATCAGTTTTTCTTACAGAAAATTGAATGCAGATTTTTTTCACCAGCTATTTTACAATACAGCAGGTCCTCAAATAACAGTGTTTTGTCACATCGGTGAGATACTCCTGTAGGAACTTAACTCTTGTTTATATCAATTGGCCTATGGTAAAATTGGTATTGTTTCCCTTAAAGTCGCAGAAACTATCAACAATGTTAAGTGAGGCCTTGCTGTATTGAAAATACCGCTCTTGGCCCGGCCAGTGTGGCTCAGTGGTTGAGCATCGACCCATGCACCAAGAGGTCGCTGGTTCGATTCCAGATCAGGACACATGCCCAGGTTGCAGGCTTGATCCCCGGGAGGGGGTGCAGGAGGCAGCCGATCAGTGTTTCTCTTACATTGATGTTTCTCTCTCTCCTCCCTTCCTCTCTAAAAAATCAATAAAAAGCATATTAAAAAAAAAAACAAAGTTAGTGGAACTGACAAGAGAGCAGAGGCAAGAAGCAGGAAGCAGAGGTATCCCCTCCAGTCATCTCCCAGATGCTTTCCTGCCTCACCTGCCATTCCATTTGACAGATGTAGCACCTTCCACTCAGTAGTGCTGGGGCCTGGCCAGCGTGGCTCAGTGGTTGAGCATCAACCTATGAACCAGGATGTCACGGTTAGATTCCGGTCAGGGCACTTGCCCGGGTTGTGGGCTTGATCCCCAGTGTAGGGCATGCAGGAGGCAGCTGATCAATGTTGCTCTCTCATCGATGTTTCTAACTCTCTATCCCTCTCCCTTCCTCTCTGTAAAAAAAAAAATCAATAAAATATATTTTAAAAAATAGTGCTGGGGATGCACAGACAGAGCCCTTCTCTTTTCTGGACTCCCTTTCTGGTCTCACTGTTGATATTTTAATATATTTTTACTGATTTCAGAGAGGAAGGGAGAGGGAGAGATAGAAACGTCAATGATGAGAGAAAACCATTGATCAGCTGCCTCCTACACACCCCTTCCTGGGGAAGGAGCCCGCAACCCAGGCATGGACCCTGTCCGGGAATCAAACTGTGACCTCCTGGTTCATAGGTCGACACTCAACCCCTGAGCCACGTGGCCGGACTGGTCTCACATTTCTGTTGTGCAGAAGAACCTCTCCCTCCCCCCATGAATTTTATTCAGGTCTTGAGGATGCTCAGACATTACTGGTGATTTTTATCCTCAAAGAGGTAACATTCCAGGCACCTGCCTGAGGCTGGTTACTGACCACACAACCAGTCTCTCTCACCGTAAACCAAGTTCTGATCCTTAGCAATGCTTATTTCCAGGCCTCCTTCTACGTCCATGTCCATACCGATCGCCGGTGAATCCGAATCTCTGGAGGAAGATAGAAAAGGAGGAGAAACTCTCAAAGTCCACCTTGGAATCGCAGGTACGCTGTGCCCTTCCCTGGGTTTCAGTTGGTGAGATTTGCATAATCCCTCCCACATTGACAATTCTGTGGTTATGTGACTTGGCCCATTTTATGGGAAATACTAAACAATAAAAACTGAACATTTTATTTAAGGTAGAGTTCTGTTAAGTCTTATGAAAAATACCATAGTTTGTACCAAAAAAAATACCATAGTTCTTCAGTAAACTAAGGTATTATGTTTCATTTTCTTGCAATAGGGTTGTTTACATTGCACTGATTTCAAGGAATCTTTCACTCTCCAGTTTGCTTTTCTTGATCATGAACTTGGCAGTGTATAAAACCCGCAGATTAGAATGCAGTTGACCGTTGACTTGTGAGCAGTGACAAGAGCATGCTGTTATGACATATTGCAGATCTCTCAGCAAAGAGCGCCTCTGTTCCAGATGTGCTCGGAGCCTGTGGACATTCGAGAACGTCGAGCCATGCGAGCCAGCAGTCAAAAGTTTCAGGTAGAGCTGGGCGTGAAGTTCCTCAGGCCTTTATTGCTCTAAAGCAGGAGTGGGGAACCTTTCCCCTGCCAAGGGCCACTTGGACACTTAACTTTTTAAAATATATTATTACTGATTTCAGAGAGGAAGACAAAGGGAGAGAGAGATAGAGACATCACTGGTGAGAGAGACTCGCTGATTGGCTGCCTCCTGCACGCTCCCCACTGGGGATCGAGCCGTGATCCTGGTTCATAGGTCGATGCTCACCCACTGAGCCACATATTTATATGATTCTTGGACCATCCAGAATTATCAACTGGAAAATTAGCCTGCTGTATTTGGTCAGACATTTAATTAACTCCCCCCTGATGCCTTGGCAGGGCCAGACCAAATGCTTTCTCGAACCTTATATGGCCCGCGGGCCAGATGTTCCCACCCCTGCTATAAAGGTACCAGAAGTGGCCGCGGTGCGGGAGGAGAGGGTTGGTCCCAGAGTGCCTGGTGTGGGCGTCATATCCTGAGGAAGCTTCTCTGACACAGGGTACAGCTCGTGCCACTCCCGGTCATCCAGCCTCTCTGAGCTCTGCCACAGGAGAAACACCTCTGTGGGAAGCACCTCGACGGGCGTGGAAAGTATTCTAGAGCCATGTGATGACACTGAGCAGAAAGGAGCTGAGCCAAATCTTGATGCAGCTGATAGAGAAGACTCGGCTTCAGAGACACTCAGCAGGTACCCTTCGGGCCTCAGCTCCATGGAGCCAGGGGGTGGGGGCGTTTACAACACAGTATAAAGGAGGACATTTTTAAACATTCTTTCCAAAGGTGCCCAGTGAAACAAGATTCTGTAGAATTTCAGCTAAAGCGAGTTGATGACACCAGAGTGGACGCCGACGACATTGTGGAGAAAATACTGCAAAGCCAAGACTTCAGCCTGGACTCCAGTGCGGAAGGTGTGTGGTGGCTGTCAGGTGCCTGTGGCTGGGTGCCAGCCCGGCCCATAGCCCAGCCAGCCGGAAAGAGGCAGCGCATCACCACGCTGTCTGCACATTGGTGAAATACGCTTTATGCCCATAGAAATCTGAAGATAACCTTGTAGCTCATTTGTTTCTAAGAATGGACATTAAATTTGGTAAACAAGCTTTTTTAAAAATATTTTTTATTGATTTCAGAGAGGAAGGGAGAGAGAGATAGAAACATCAGTGATGAGAATCATCGATCAGCTGCCTCCTGCACGCCCACCACTGGGGATCGAGCCCGCAATGTGGGCATGGGCCCTGACCAGTAATAGAACCATGACCTCCTGGTTCATAGAGCCACACTGGCTGGGCAAGAACGGACTTTTAAAAGCTCAATTTTAAAGAATGCTCTTACTGTATTTTTTAATTATGCATCAATGTCTACCATGTTTATATACCTTGTGATGGATATTTACATCTGCTTTGTCGTAACTGGACATAGTGCTTCAAGGCACTATTGCCATGTGGAAGGTTGGGTGGTAAACTTGAAATGATAGTGAATAACAGAATCCTTCGCTCCCTCAGCATTTCCACTGAAACTGATAATGTACAAGCCACAGGTTGAAAGGTGGAATTGTTCCTGCTGGTGTGAGTAGAGAGCAGTTTAGCGCAGGGGTGGTTTCCTTGTATGACTGGTTGTGAAGAGAAGTCATTAAGCCTCTCCTGTGGAAATTCGTAGGACGAGCTTCTTTATTCAGTTTTAAGGAAAATAGCTTTAGGAAAGTTGAGGAGAAATAACTATTAGGATAGGTCTTCAAGGGTCTTTTTTAAAATATGTCTATAGCTTTTTAAAGTTTTTAACTTATTTAATAAAATGGAAATGTAAAGTTTGGGTTTATGGCAGCGTGAATGTTACTGGACAATACTAACTGCCCACAACGCTGCTGTCCCTGCAGAGGAAGGACTGCGGCTGTTCGTGGGTCCTGGAGGGAGGACGACCTTCGGCAGCCACCATCCTCCCAGCAGGTAAGGAGCCACCCGGGGCCTTATCAAGTAAAGAGAACACTGGCCTCGTCCTTAATGTCCCTGAGCAGCAGATGAAGGTTACGCAGGCTCAGGAACACTGATCTAAGCATTTAGTGTGAGAGGATCGGACACTGGGCCCCTCCAGTGTCTTCATTACAAACAGTGAATGCTCAAGTATTTTCTATCTGTGGTGCCTTTAAACCCTGTGGAAATCAGATCAAGTGGAAAATGCCTAACACACCACTCTCCCTTCAGGGCCAAGGTTAACTGGAACGATTTCAAACACTGCCGCTCAGAATTTTGACCTTTTTTTCCCTACTGTTTAGAGTCGTGTCCGGAGCCTACGAACAAGTCGTGATCAAACGCTAGACGCTCAGCTGGCGAGTGGCAGCTTCCCTGTGGGTGTGAGATGCGGGCAGCTGAGCTGTCAGGCGCTTTCTTGGGAGAAGGTGGTTCTGTTTGAAAAAGGAGGTGTGTCCGTGTGCCCCAAGGAAAGCCAGCACACACACAGGGACCATCGGACCATCGGATGGTAGTGTTGGGGCCCACGTGTCTGTGTGTGTGGAAGTCCACGCTTCCGTGGTCACTGCCCGAGATCATGCAAAGACTGCTTTTTCTTTCAAAACCCCCTGGTGGGGAAACAGCACTGTACACCTGGGTCTAGTTAGTGTTGAAGCATAAAACCTACGACCGAGGTGCACAACAAATTCTAATTAATTTTATGTTTGAGAGACAATACATGACGATAGAGACCGTATAAATTCTGTCAAAATAGTTACAATTCCTGCTAAGGGAATCTTGCATATATTATACTACCTAGAATATTGTACTAAGTTTAACTCATTTTGATACAATTGGTATAAAAAAGTGTGGGTGTTCATGCTTTGGGGAAAAGTTATACTACAATTGAAACCTTACAGTAAAATGCTTAATGTAAACGTATCAGTCATAAGTCGAGTAACAAGTGTATTTGAGTCTGAGCTACGTGAATGGGTGTAATGCCGTTACAGGCAGTGTGTGTTGTTACTTGTTAGTATTAGGTGCTGCAGAACCCCTAGCACTGTGCCTGCCCCAAGGGAAGCGTCATGTTCCATGTTAGGCTGCCGTGCCCGGACGCACCCTGACAGACAAGCTGTTTTCGCACTGAGCAATGGCTGTTGTTTCAGGAGTCAGAGCTTAGCATCTGGAGGAAAGTTGTGATACGATGAGAAACAGAGCAGCCTTCCTCTGTAAGTTCCCACATCTCTGAAATTGAGAATGATGCCAAGGAGGGAGTGGGCAAGACAGGGGACAGCTGTTGACATGGACCTGTGGTCTTCTATCTCAGCCCTCCCCCCTACCAGATCCTGTGCTTTCTTCTCACTGTATCAGAAATTGGTTGTTTTGAGGCAAGATTAGACTAGAACATACATCAAACAGAGCATTTAAAGTAAGAATAGCTGGCCCAGCCAGCATGGCTCAGTGGTTGAGCGTCGACCTTTGAACCAGGAGGTCACGGTTCAATTCCCCCTTCGGGCACATGCCCAGGTTGCGGGCTCGATCCCGGGAGGCAGCTGATCGATGATTCTCGTCATTGATGTTTCTCTCCCCCATTCCCATCCTCTCTGAAATCAATAAAACTATATTTTTTAAAAATAAAGTAAGACTATCTGGAGCTGGCTTTAGCTCAGCAGCTCCTTTGAATCACTTGCCAACCACTCTTGCTTGCGAGGGGGGGTTGAGACCCGCGGGTCCCCTCCCTTTAAATTAAAAAAAATACAAATAAAATAATATCTGATCTGGATCCAGGTTAACAGCATGGACCTGGAGAGTTTTTTCTGGTTTTGTGTGACAGTTTCTGTGTGGAAAGATCTTAATTTTCTCATCCTCATCCTAGGATATTTTTCCATTGATTTTTAGAGAGAGTGGAAGGAAGGGGAGAGACAAAGAAACATTGATGTGAGAGAAACATCGATTGGTTGCCTCCTGCACACACCCCGACCAGAAGATTGAGCCTGCAACTGAGATACGCGCCCTTGACCGGAATCGAACCTGGGACCCTTCAGTCCAAGGGCTGATGCTCTATCTACTGGCCCAAACCAGCCAGGACTAGATCTTAATTTTCTTGGAATCATCCAGTTGAAAAAAATGTAGATTCTATACAACTAGAAAGTCCCACTCTTTACTTTCAAAAGCATGTCCAAGTAACATATGTTAGAATTCCTTTGGTCTGTGTATTTTCATGTTGGCAAAATAGAGGGGGGAGGTATTTTTAAGAAAATACTATTTTAATACTAAAATTGAGAGGTTGGAGAACTTTAAATAGTTCATGTTAGGGCTTTTGTGTGGTTTTTAATATTTCAAGGATTGGGTATTCCAAACGAATCCAAAACTACTTTTACAAATAGATTCTGAGATTTTAAAGCAATGACACCCAGATAGGGTTTTTTTCTGAGTCATTAAACTTTCTAAGATTTGTTTTGAAGAAAAAAAAAATGACCTGAAGATTTAAGTGCAGCCAAGGAAAATGTTACCTCAAGTGGTAAAGACTTGTCTCTGACTAAACAAATGAATGATCCCCTTGTTGTATATTACAGAAAAGAATCGAAAGTTTTCAATAGAGATATGAAGATATTGTTTAGAGAGATATTTATTATGACATTTTAAAAACCTATTTTTCTATTTTCAAAATATTATTCCTAAGCTATATTTTTGGTTGGCGCTTCTGCAAATGGCTTTGCAGTTGTGAAATGCTAACAACTAGACCGTAGGCCAGGTTCCGTGAGGACATCCTCCAGCTATGTCGTAGGTGCTGTAGTTCGGACACCAGTCCTGTTAGTCATCCTTGGCTGCCCTTGTCCAAGACCTTTATGCAAGACGGGCTCTCAGTATTTGAAAATGACACAGAATTCTTTTCTAAAAACAAAATGTGAATTTTGAAGACCATAAAAATCATGCCTGTATAAATTTAGCAGCCACCAGATAACATCTTGATTTCTGTATGAGTCAACATAACAAACATCTTAATACACAGAAACATAGGAAGAAGAGAGATGGCATGTCCTTCATCGTCAGTGAAGTCTGCATCCATTTTATTCTGTTTTGTGCCCCATCCGCACACTTTGCAACAACTACATTTCATTACAGTCCGGAAAAATATGTTAGAGTTTGCCTACGTGTCTGCCCTACTTCCAAGTTCTTCTTCCTTCAAGCCTGTAAATCTGCTTATTCAATATTAAGTCTACTTTTGGTTTTGTTTTGAGTTTAGAAAATCGAATTTGAAAAAGCAAATCTTGCCGAAACCGGTTTGGCTCAGTGGATAGAGCGGCGGCTTGCGGACTGAAAGGTCCCAGGTTCGATTCCGGTCAAGGGCATGTACCTGGGTTGCGGGCACATCCCCAGTGGGAGATCTGCAGGAGGCAGCTGATCGATGTTCCTCTCTCATCGATGTTTCTAACTCTCTATCTCTCTCCCTTCCTCTCTGTAAAAAATCAATAAAATATATTAAAAAAGAAAAAGCAAATCTTAATACATTGACTTCTAAATATTAGACTCAAATTTCAAGTCCCCTAGTCTTGGAGAATTTGTACAACTGTAACATTTCCTAACCCAGTGCTAGAGAAAAAAATGAATGGTATTTTAAAGTGACATATTTCTGATAAGAGTCTTAAATACCTTGTTTGGGGGAATTACAGAAGAAGCAGGTCAGGAGCCCATTTCCTGTGACTTGTGCTGGTGACGGAGACCAGAGAGGATGTGAAGGGCAGCCAAGGACAGAGAAGGCCCTGAGCCATCCGCTCACCCTGTGCGGTGGCGCTGAAGGCTCTATATACAAGCACCGAACAGGGTTAGTTTTTATAATCTGACAAAGACTTGACCAAGATTCTTTAAGTATCTACTGGCCTCCAGTCAAAACATATTCAGGTAGCAATGAAATTCAATACCTGGAAAACATCCAGACATAATTTTAGACTTTAAGAATTCCATGCTAACGACCACTTTGCAAGCTCAGGCTGACAGTATTGTTCAATGCTTCACTGAAGAACTACTCTGAAGAGTTACGCTTCCAGGACATATAATAATGCTCCCAAGAGACTGGGCTCATGTGATGGGGTTGTATTTTATTTTGGCAGGTCTTTAACTGGGGCAGTTCAGACACTGTACTTGGTCAGTTCTCCTAGATGGTACGTCGTGTGACTATAATCAGGTACTGTAGCTGGAACTGCGTCATGTCACTCTATATGTTGGCTTAGGTACTGTGCATAATTGTAAGAGTTGAGATGTTGAAGAATATGAAATCCAAAAACATAAAGGATGAAATATGCCTATATGAACCCTGTTTTAAGACTGCTCTGGAAATAAGGCCTTATTATTCTTATGACTTTTCATAAGATAATATGCAGGGTGGGGCAAAAGTAGGTTTACAGTTCATATGGAAAATACAATAATTAACAAATAATAGGTATTCTAATTCCTCCCACTCTCCCATTCAATAAAAGGTTTTAAATTGTAAAAAAAAAAAAAAAAATTCAAGAAGAAACTGCGTTTAGAGTACTCACAATTGTAAGCCTACTTTTGCCCTACCCTGTCCACACTGTATTTTAAACGGCTGTGTAGGTGGTTTCTAGCTCCTCCTCCGCACAGCACGGCTGGCAGGTTTCGTAATTTACGCAGGCTACATGCTCTGCATCTACAAATGTGTATGTCCATCTCTTGATGATAGTCATTGACCAAATCCCATCACAGGAAGACATTTTGGGTACATTCAGTTTGATTTTTTTTAAAAATACATCTTATGTTGGGGATTTATCTTCGTTTTGTGCATTTGTTTGTTCTTGTGGAAGCTGATACAGTGTAAGTAGTCATGTCAATGTTTATGCAAAAATGTTAATTGAAGTGATTCCATTAGTATTGTGTTCTAATACTTGGAGAATGACCTTCATTTTTATACATTTTTTTTGTTTTAACTGCACAACTATAAATCCAGGAAATGTCCCCCCCCCTTTATTTTTTTTTATAAAAACTAATTTTTTATTGTAAAGTATTTGTAATAATGTAAAGGTGAATCCTATACAAGTTCAATAAAAATCATATCTTAAAGTTTAAATTTTCAGTTAAAGATTCTGTCACTTGCCAAGGTCAGAAAACAGAGTGAAAGGACCAGTGTATAACTTTTCCCTGGGGGTTTCCCCTCAAAAGACACTTCGCACCCTGAGGCAGCTCCTGCAGCCACGGCCATGAGCATGCAACAAGAGACCTGCGTCTGATCCAAACACCCTTCAGAACCTACTGTCTTTCTTTTTCTTTTTAAAATTTGTATTGATTTTAGAGACAAAGGAAGGGAGAGGGGGAGAGAGAGAAACACTGATGAGCTCCCAGGCCCAGCTTTCTTATTATGACTCAGCACTTAGTGCTTTTCTCTCTCTTCCTCCCCCATCCTCTGCCCTTTCCCCTTAATTTACCTCCTCATCTCTGTGCATCATACACCTGGTAGCAGCACATACTAGTATATGGAAATGAAATCTTTCCATGTGCATGATAGGAAATCTCTGGTGGAGTCAGTCCATCCCACATTACACAAGATGCAGAAGAGAAAAGGCCTTAATTTAGACATTCCCTGAGTTAGTGATCTCTATTCCAGATGACCCAGGCTCTAAGGAAATGCCAGGCCTTCCTGTTGGAGTTAGCTCAGACCCCATTCCTATGCAGTTACAACTCCGGCAGGTCGAGCTGTCTCCTGAACCATTGCTCTGAAGAAAGTGACTTCACTACTAGATCTTTAAATCATTTCAGCAGCGCTTTCCTGTGTGGCGAAAGCTTCAAGCCTCCATCAGAAATTGGCAGACTAAGTTTTGGGGTGTTTTTTTTGTTTTGTTTTTGTTTTGTTGTTTTGCATCTTGTATCAGGAGTCCTCAAAGCAAAAGAATGCATTTACTTTAAGTGGGAAAGTGTGCCACCTTCTG